GTCGCGTTATCGACATATTTCGTCAAAATAACGTGCGACGATACATTTTTATAGACGCTGAAAAAATATCGAGTCGTGAAATTCACTTATGACGCGAAACGAATTTTGTCGTAACTCAACTAAAAACTAAGAAAATTCTCGGATATCTAATAATCTTAATAAAGCCGGCTTTGTCTTATCTCGAATTCGATTAAAATACACTTGGCACATTAGATTTTCAATTAAGTGTGTTAATTTAATCCCGCCGTTCTTTTGTCTCAATTAAAATCGCTGATTTTTCCAATTTGAGTTACAGAAATTTCTAAACAAATCGAATTAATTGCTAGTTGCGTGAAGGGGATCATAGGTGTGGATGACAGACATGTGAGAACTTGGGAACAATTAATTTTAATTAAAATTTTTCAGTTATTGGCGTGTTGCTTGTCACCGACAGATCGCAAAAATAAATTAAGTGTTCTGTCAATATTGTTGTTATCGATTTTGCAATATTTCAAAGCGGAAAGTTGCAAACTGAGATTAAGACGTCTCAAATTCGAATAATTGATCTAATTTTTCAGGCGACTTGCTTTCAATTCGGTCGGGTCTATTGTCGGCGCGAAATTAATTGAAATTTGGTTTTTCTTTGGATGTTATCCGCAACAGCCCCCAAAGGATGCAATTCCCAAATGAGGAGGCGGCGAACGTATTAAATATCATTTCCTCTCGTGCTCGAGGTCGACGATAAAAACATTATCGAGCAGTTATTACAACGAATTTATTTTGAAACAAAACAGATTTTTTTTTAAATAATTGCTCTTTCCCAAAGAAAGAGAACTGGTATTGGATTTCATTCCCATCAATTTCGTAATAAGGGCGTTAAAACTGACTGTTACAGCACTCCCGACGTGTTGTGTACATAAAATTTTACGAGCTACAATGAAAACGTTTCAATTAATTAGCTTTTATTGGATGTCTTGGGTCTTTTTGGAGCATTTTTGCAAAATCGAAATTATTTAAGTGCCACAATTTGAGAATATTCCCACGTGAAAGTCGGGTTTTACCCCTTTCAAAGCAAATTTATTCAAAATCTTTTAATAAACTCGCTAAACAATCCATTCGAGTTGGACACAAGAGGGCAAACAAGTAAATTATTATGCAGGGTGTTTACAAAAACGCCATATTACCAGATTGTAACAAATGATAGAAAGGAAACCACAAACTAAATGTTTTGAGGTTTATTTCAGTTTTTGTACTTTTTTTCTTTAACTAATGCATTGTTTTAAATACATCAAACACGATGTTAATTTGATAAAACCTTAATGGATTTTTCTTCTTTAAAGAATACAAATTAATTCAAGTTATGTCTAGCTTGACTTTTAATAATAAAATACAAATAAAATAAAATAAAAAACATTTTTATTTAAATAATATA